CCACAACAGACACCCCGGGAGGTAGGCGGGGCTGAGAGAGCTCTGAGAGAACTGCCCTTGAGAGAACAGCTCTGAGAGAACTTGTGACTGGCGGAAGCCCCTTCTCATCAGCAAACTGGAATTTGTGCTGCGGGCCCCAGTAGTGGCAACAGTGCCACTGAATCTTTCAGCTCTACCTAGATCAGGGGTCCCCGACGTGGCACCTGTGAGGTACCGTGGATGCTTGTCGACACCTTAACTGGCACCTGCCAAGCGTTTTCAGAAAGTGGGTGGGGCCAGGTAGAGCAGCCCAGCAAGGCTTCCGGTAGGCCGCTGAAGACTGGATTGGCTATGCAGATTAAAATATTTATACCCTGCCCTTCACTCGGAGTCTCAGAGCGGCTTACAATCTCCTTCCCTTCCTCTCCCCACAACAAGCACCCTGAGAGGTGAATGGGGCTGAGAGAGCTTTGAAGGAACTGCTCTGGATAGAACAGCTCTGAGAGAACTTGTGACTGACCCAAGGTCCCACCAGCAGCTGCATGTGGAGGAGCTGAGAATCAAACCCGGTTCTCCCAGATTAGGGTCCCCCACTCTTAACCACTACACCAAACAAAAGGTGAGGCAACGAGGGTTTGTCGCTGTCAGCCTGATCCACCTTACGAGTTTGTTGCTAGGATTCAACGGTGGAAAGCTCCAGATGACAGGCCCCTCAGCTCCGTGTACGATTGAGACGCGTCTAATAAAATCTACCCATCAAAGGGTATTTGACCCCTTTCCCCATTCAGGCAATACCTGTAGTTATTGCTGTGCCTCAAACGCAACAGGGTCAAAAAAACTTGAGCGGGAGAGAAAATCGGTTCCCCTTCTGCCTGCCAACAGTGAAGGAAGGACCGTTTGTTTTTAAAAAGCGACATTCCACAATTTCCTTCCCTGTCCCTGGATTGCCGGTTGCAGCTGCTCCGGGGAGATGCTCTGCTATCGGCTCTCGATGACATCTCCCAACTGCGAGAGTGCGAAAAATGAGCAGCCATCTTTAAGCTGTTACGGGGCAGCCTCTAAATCTTCCCGACAGCTGTAATTAGTTGCAGAGGGTTCAGCTGTCTCTCCGGAACAGATGAGACCTGTTGGAGGGAGAGCATGAGCTCACACACAGGACGGGTGGGATAAAGGGCCTGCCAAAGGCGGCTCAAAAGCCTCGGCCTACTTTTGACGGGGAGGTATCTTGAATCACAGAGCGACGCTCTTCCAACAATGGACTTGCTAAAGGCCAAACCACACGTGAGATCTTGAAACTGCACGGTCAACATGTGGAACTCACTGCCACAAGATGTGGGGATGGCAACTGACTTTGGCGGATTAGGGAAGTGGGCAAATGTCTGCAAGAGAGGTCTGCTGCTGGCTATTAGCCACGATAATCGAATGGTAACTCCAGTTTGAGAGTGTCTATTTCTGGGCAGCCATCTTGCGGTGCTTTTCCTCGGGCATATCAACTGCCAGTGTTGAAACACACAAACACACGAAGTTGCCTTTTACTGAATCAGACTATTAGTCCATCTAAGTCAGTATGGTCTACTCAGACTGGCAGCAGCTCTCCAAGGTCTCAGGCAGAGAAGAAGAAGAAGAGATTGGATTTATACCCCGCCCTTTACTACCCAAAGGAGTCTCAGAGCGGCTTACAAACTCCTTTCCCTTCCCCTCCTCACAACAGACAACCTGTGAGGTCGGTGGGGCTGAGAGAGCTCTGACAGAAACTGCTCTTTTTCAAGAACAGCTGTGCCAGAACGATGGCTTGCCCAAGGTCATCCAGCGGGTGCAAGTGGAGGAGTGGGGAATCAAACCCGGTCCTCCCAGATTAGAGTCCGCGCACTTAAACCACTACACCAAACTGGCTCACATCACTTTCATACCACTTACTGCCAGTTCCTTTTACCTGGAGATGCCAGGGATTGAACCTGGGACCTTCTGCATGCCAAGCAGAGGCTCTGCTACTGAGCCACAGCCCCTCTTTACAGCTCTCCAGGGTCTCAGGCGGAGGTCTTTCACATCACTCACTGCCAGGTCTTTCCAGGATACTCAATGGGATGGGCCACTGGTCTGATCCGGCAAAGCCAATGTTCTTATGATCTGAACCCCAAACTACAAACTGGGCTGGGAAGTATTTGTGGCAGCTGGGAAGCTAGAACACAGGGCAGCCTGAACTTGACTTCTCGTGGGGGAGAGAACTCGCACTATTTGGGGAATGGACTAAAGAAGACAGAGAACTCCCGTTTACAGCTTGGCAGATTCTGACTGTAAAACCTGATGGGGCAGAGTTCTGCGGCTTCCCCCCTGAACTAAACCTCCCTTCATTTTAGGGGACCCAAGTAAATAACTCACACACAATCGTCTAAACCACTGTCATTTAACGGTAGACAGATCTATCTCTAGATGCTCCTCACACATGACTGCGGGCCAGCAAAGTTACCACTGCCCTCGGTCCAGTTTATGCACCATGCCACATCGATTCCCTGCAGGTAGCGCCAATACCTGACTCAGGTCTACTTGTGCCGTAACCCAATACAAGTGGGGAATCCGCATTATACAGACCCCAGGGTTTCCAGAAAAGGGTTCAACCTCTCTTGGCGCCAAGAGCCCCAGAGTTACAAAGTGATACATAACCCGGACAGTTTATTCCACTTAAGATTCCTTTCGGAGGCACAGCTGAGAAAGCAAATTTCGGACGGGGCGCAAGGCTCACGTGATGTCGCTGGAAAACCCAGTATGGATCTCTTTTCTAATTGAAATCTAATTGCCCCTTTCTCACCTAAGCAAAACCACATGGGGGGGGGAGAGGGGGGCTCTCCGCCGGCCTCGGTGACGGCGTGCTAAATCACTTATTAATTTTCTCTGCTGAAACGTCCAGCGTTTCGAGATTTACGGCGACTCGGTTTTATGACCCCACCCGCCAGACGCCCATATTTTGCGCGTCGAAGTTTTGCAAAACTGGCTGTGCTTGAAGTCGGGTTTCACACTCAATTTTAGCAGCCCCCCACTCGACAATGGTTTCATTAAAAAAAATTAGGTCACCTGCTTCTCATTTCATACTTATCGCACTTGCAAAACAAAACAAACCTTGAAAAAAAAAAAAAAGGTAAAAATTTTAGAAGGGGGGGGGGGGGGGAGAAACTCGCCTATTCTACATTCCGAAAATTTCATTTCCAAAGCATTAAGAAACAGGGAAACTCCCTCGGCGATCAGAGGTGTTGAGTCTCTATTAGCAGGGCAAACTCCAAGGAAGAGGAGGGACAAGGGGTGATTTTACACTAGACCTTAAATCCTGGTTCAACCTTGTCTCCGAACGTACATCTATATATCTAATAGCGAAGGCGCCCCCTGTGTGCGGAGTCCTAAATCCGCGCATCGGGGGCACCTGGGGGGGAGGGAGATTTTCGTGCACACTTGGGGCAGTCCCCAGGTGTGCACAAAAATCTAAAAACTTGAAAAAAATATAGGGGGGATATTTAAATCCCCCCCAAAATAAAAGAGCGTTCCCTGTGCATGTGCAGGGAACGCTCAGCGAACTGCCTCGCCGCCACTGCTGCTTGGGGGGGGGAGGTCGAAGGCTTGGTGGGCTGGCGGCTGTGAGCAACTCAGCCGCTGCCGCCACCACCGTGTGGGGGTGGGCACTCCATGAAACTGCAGAGCGGTCGGGTTAGAACGGATAAAAGGAAGTACTTCTTCACCCAAAGAGTGATTCACACATGGAATTCACTGCCACAGGAAGTGGTGGCGGCTACAAGCATGGACGGCTTCAAAAGGGAATTAGATAAGCATATGGAGCAGAGGTCCATCAGTGGCTATTAGCCACAAGGGATAGCTAGGGGCTCTGGGGCAAGTGATGCTTTGTCATCTTGGTGCTTGGGGGGGGCAACAGTGGGATGGCTTCTAGTGTCCTGGCCCCACTGGTGGACCTCCTGATGGCCCCTGGTATTTCTGGCCACTGTGAGACACAGAGTGTTGGACTGGATGGGCCTTTGGCCTGATCCAACATTGGCGTCTCTTATGTTCTTATGTACACTCGTCCCCCCTCTTAGACAGGCCAGCACCTGATCCACAATAAAAACCCTCAATCACCTTTTGCATGACTTGTAGCTAGTTTAGTTTTAGACATTTTCATAGTTATTCTAATTATAATGGACTGTTAAACTTTTTATTTTTTTTAACATTTTAATGGTTTTAAGGTTATAGGTCTACATATATATTTTTGGACTGAAAGCTAATCTGTTTATATTTAACGGATAGGTATTATTTTGACAAATGGTCTCTGACCGTAAATAAGCATAATTCATTCACTACACTCGAGTTCACCTCTGTAATTATCTCGGGATATTTTTTTGTTTCCACATTACATTGAGGTCACCCCCGTTTTGCCCCACACTTGTCCCGGGAGAAATAGATGCTGTTATAATCAGGGATAAATGCAAGGTATTGTGTCGCGAGTTGAACTCTGATAAAACCAGGGATGAGATCCAAGTGTGGAAAGGACCCAGGTGAGGTGGACTTTTTAGCCACATGTCCGTAGGGATGATACCAAATTTCTCAAGCCCACCGTTTTTGCTCCCCTTCTCTTGTGCAGAAACGAACCCAGGAATCTTCATTCCTGCACTCCAAAATGAGAGTCAGAGTGGTGTAGTGATTGGAATGTCAGAGTAGGCTCTCGGAGACAGGGTTCGAATCCCTACTTTGCTACAGAACTCGCTGGGTGAGTTCAGGCCGACCACTCCCTCCTCAACCTACCCTACCTCACTGGGTTGTTGTGAGGACAAAATGAAGAAGGGAGATAGTCCTCAATTATCTGCGGCCTTCGGCACACCGCCTCACCCTGCTCAAGGTTTAGAACGGGACTTTGTTCTTCTCTAGCTTGTCCACTAGCCAATGCAAGGCCTAGCCATTTTTGGTGCATCAACTGTGCAAAGCCAGGCTGCCTTGGTTTCTCCACAAAGCACCCAACGCACCTTCTGAGTGCCACTTGGCCTTACCTGGGCGGAGCCTTGCCCTCAAACGGATTGAAGGCCATCAGGGACAACACATCCTTCTCGTTCGCCAGCAGCTTTCCAGCCAAGTGGATGATCCATTCGTTCTGCTCGTAGGTCTTGCAGAAGAAGAGCGTGTGGCGAGGAAGAGACACAGATCAATTCATCAACACAAAACAGTGTTTTATCAATTGTGTTATACACACAGGTGCGTTTACGCTCACTCAGTTGGATTATCCGCACGTTTACGGCACTTCTACAGCAGACAGAAAAGGGAACCAGCATTTTCCGGGGTCCATTCATAATTTAGAACCAAGGAAGAAGAAGAAGAAGAAGAAAGAAGAATGAGAAAAGAAGAGGAGGAGGAGGAGATTGGATTTATACCCTGCCCTTCACTCGAAGTCTCAGAGCGGCTTCCAAACTCCTTTCCCTTCCCGTTCCCACAACAGATACCCTTTGAGGTAAGTGGGTCTGAGAGAGCTCTTTCGAGAACTGCTCTTGAGAGAGAACAGCTCTGAAAGAACTTGTGACTGACCCAAGGTCACACCAGCAGCTGCATGTGGAGGAGTGGGGAATCAAACCTGGTTCTCCCAGATTAGAGTTTGGGGCAAAGTTTCTGCCAGGGAACCTCAGTATCCTCCTGATCCTGCTGCCCCAGAAGGTTGGACCAAAACCAACGGGTTGAAATTCAATCAGAAGAGTTTTCGGCTAAACATTAGGAAGTACTTCCTGACAGAGTGGTTCCTCAGTGGAACAGGCTTCCTCGGGAGGTAGTGGGCTCTCCTCCTTTGGGGGGTTTCAAGCAGAGGCTATATGGCCATCTGACTGCAATGCTGATTCTATGCACTGAGGCAGATCATGAGCGGGAGGGCGGGAAGGGTTGCACCAGTGCTTAGTTCTCGTGGCCCTTTCTTACTTGCCCAGGGAAATGCTGATCACCACTTTGGAGTCAGGAAGCAATTTTTCTCCAGGCCATAAGAACATAAGAGAAGCCAATGTTGGATCAGGTCAATGGCCCATCCAGTCCCGCACTCTGTCACACAGTGGCCCAAAATACCAGGTGCCATCAGGAGGTCCAGCAGTGGGGCCAGGACACTAGAAGCCCTCCCACTGTTGCCCCCCCCAAAGCACCAAGAATACAGAGCATCCCCTGCCCCAGCCTGTGAGTTCCTATCTATCCCTTGTGGCTAATAGCCACTGATGGACCTCTACTCCATATGTTTATCCAGTTCCCTCTTGAAGCTCTCCATGCTTGTATCCACCAGCACCTCCTGTGGCAGTGAATTCCATGTGTTATCCAGGAATTTCCCAACCTGGAACTGGGAAACCGACCTCCACCCAGCCAGGTGGTACCTGGTAACCTGATCTCCCAACCTTGTTGCTGAGCAACCACCCACTGAAATGGATTTTTAAAAAAAAAAATAATTTAGTCAAGCTTTGAAAGCAGGATTTGAAATGTCAGCTATGGATTCTATTTTGAGGGGCAACGGTGAACTTTGCCTCTAAATAATTCATGGCAACAATACGCTCTACAGAACGGGAAACCATCGATTTATACAGGGGCAATATGATACTGGCTGATTTGTTTGGCCAGGGATCCTGGAGGTTTTTTTGTCATCTTCTGAGCATGGAACAGGGGCCATTGAAGGTGTGGGAGGGAGGTATTTGTGAATTCCCTGCATTGTGCATGGGGTTGGACTAGATGTCCCTGCAGGTCTCTTCCAACTTTATGATTCTATGATCCTGGTGTTCTGAGTTCCCTGATGAGATTTCTAGGGCTAGATGAAACTTAGAAAAGAACTACGGCTTCTAGGCCTTCTGCCTGATTTCCCACCCCACCCCACCATAAAATCCCAGTTGTCAACTCAAGCTTTGCAGAAGCCTCAAGCATTGGGCACAGTGTGGAAAGCAGTCAAGTTGGGAACAACCAAGATTGTGCCCAGGATCCCGTGCGGTTTTTCATTTCCCTCCCACCTGAACGGACACAACCTGACTCTCCCCTCTTTCCATGCTGGGGTGAGAGCCCGCTCCAGCCTATGAGCTTGTGGCAGGTCAACATGGAACGCTCACAGGCAATCCGTGCTCCAGACAAACGCCCTGCCCTGCCCTGCCCTGCCCTGCCAGGGAACCTCGAACCCCAAACCTCAAGCTTCTCTTGTGTTAGAAACTCATGTCTTTACAAGAGCAGGATTATTTATTCTCTTGGCTACATTTTCACCCCAGCTTTTCTTTGACGCACACGGTGTGTGGCCAAATGAGGACTGGAACTCAGGTCTTCTTGACCCGAGTTTGATTCTGTGCTCAACTGCCTTTGTGGACAAAGGGAACCTCCCCGGCCAAGTATTCTGACTCCCCTGCAAGGAGAAAGAGCTCCTTTGGCATCCATCCATCCACTAGAGCTGGGTTTTCTCCAGATCAAGCAGCAGGGGACAGTGTAGGAAAGCAGAACTCCGTAGTTGGTAAGACTGCAACAACTGCAGAGGTTACTCAGCAATTGCGTTTTCTCTTTAGTATTCTGGGAAAGAAGGGATGGAGGTGGGTTGGAATTCTGAAGGAAGTGTCCTCTGGATTATCTGAGAACTAGCACGGTAAGAGGTCTGTGTGACTGCAGCCACAGTCTAACCTAGGGGAGAATGCAAAAGCTACTCATTAAACAAGAAAGAGGAGGAGGAGGAGGAGATTGGATTTATACCCCACACTTCACTACCTGAAGGAATCTCAGAGTGGTTCACAATCTCCTTTCCCGTCTCCTCCCCACAACAGACACTCCGTGAGGTAGGCGGAGCTGAGAGAGCTCCTTTGAGGACTGCCC